GGTTGGCGTTCCTGTTTAAGGACCGTGCCCCCAGCACGCTGAAGAAGCACCTGAGCGGCTGGCGGCGCTGGCTTATTTTCTGCCGAGCTTCTGGCGTGCAGGCAGGTCGCCCTTCGTGCCCTGATGTCCTTGATTTCTTGGAGGCGCTGGCCGAGGGTGCTAGCAGCGATCGTGGCGCCCGAAGATCGGGAGCGGCGCGCGGTGTGATTTACGCCCTGCGCTTCATCGCGCACAAGCTGCTTCTTGAAGCACTGGATGGGATTCTCCGCGGGCCAGTTGTGATATCTTGGTTATCTGCGCAGAAGTGGCAGCGTCGCGCACCTTCAGAGGCCCTGCCCCTCCCCTTGTTTGCCGTATGTGAACTCGAGCAGGCTGCACTGATAGGCGAGGAGGCTGCAGATCGGTTTCTTGTTGGCTGCTTCCTTGTCATGCTGTGGGCTGGGTTACGTTTTTCAGACGCACAGCGCATTGACCTATCTTCGATTCTGTGTGCGGGTGGCTCCCTACGGGGGTGGTGCTGGAGGAGTAAAACCTGCCCGACTGGATTTGCCTGGGGCTGCCAGTTGGCGGGTGCCACTGGCAATGACTGGGCACAACAGCTCGGCGAGGCACTGCTGGACGTTCACACGGAGTCCCCTGATCGCGACTTCCTGCTGGGCTATGAGAAAGGGCCAATGCCCTACTCTACTGCACTTGCGCATTTCCGGCGCTGTCTTGTTAAGTATACATCCTTGACTGTTGAGGACGCACGCAAATTCACGCTCCACAGCCTGAAAACTACACTGCTGACCTGGGGCCTGCAGCTGCAAGTGGGAGTTGAGGAGCGGGCAGCCCAAGGACACCATCGCTTGCGCAATTCCTCTGGGTGCGTGGAAAAGTACCGCAGAGATGATGTCCTACCTGCACTTCGCTGCCAGCGGTCGGTGATTAAGGCCGTGCGTGCAGGCTGGGTGCCGTGCACAGCGTTGGCCCGTGGGATAGTGGCCGTGCCAGAAAAGGATCCGGGCGCCTTGCTGGTGCAGCGGTGTGAGCCGGGAGAGATGGAGTCTGACACAGAGACAGAAGATGAAGATGACGGCTCCGATGCGTCGAGCATGCTGGCCGCGGACTGTGATGAACTGGATACAGATAGTGTGCAAAGCGATGCTCTTTCCGCTGCCTCAGATGCCGAGAATGAAGTGCTGCTTGAGGCGGGCCCTTGGATTTTGAACCTAGTAAGTGGCTGGTATCATCGCGCGGTGCGTCGCGAGCCCTCCACGCGTGCAGCAGCATCTGAGGAAGCGCAGTACGGCAAGGCGTGTCGACCGGGCGGTGAGCTTGGGGATCGCTACGAAGTCCGCACAAAGGATCCAGGCATGGAGGGCTTTAGCCCGTGCCATCACAGCGCATGCTTCGGGTGTGTGTGAGCTGACGGCCGCGTCTGTGTCACGGCCCTGAGTTGGCCTCTTTTCTTGGGGACTGCCGTCGCAGTTGTCCAACCTAGAAGGGTTGGCTTTGGCTCCAGAGTGGGCGCTGGTGGTTTTGGGTCCGCTACTGACGGGGCCGCTCGCACTTTGGGTGCGTTGCGGTGGCCAGCTGATGCTGGGTGCGCGCTTTGGGCGCCTGCTTGGTGCCCTCAAGTGGGATGTCTATTATTTCGTGCTTCGCGTTGATTGCGTCTTCGTACGATCTACCGATTCTGTGGTATTTATCCCATGGTGGTTTGGATGGCGATGCGGCTTGCGTCCTCATGGCGTGTTGGCATTTGGGTCAGCGTTTGACTTTTGCAAGTCTCATTGAATTGCCTGCTTTACGCAATCTTTCTTGCTTTTGCTTCGGCCCTATGACCGTGTGGAAGAAGCAGATGGTGGACGCTGGCGTGTCTGAGAAGATGGCGGATTTGGTGGTGAAGCTTGGTTACGACTCCGAGGAGCTGTTTTGTGGCGCATTTGTGGATCAAGCAGCGTTTGAGTCTTGGCTGGTGAAGCTGCGGAGCAAGGCGGGGGATACCGAGTTGGAGCGTTTAGATGACGTTGAGTGGGCCACACACCCTGTTGCAGCCAGACTGCGTGTCTTTTGGAAGAAATGCCAAAAGCTTCCTCTGCTAGCACTTCAGCCACGGGGTCCAGACGGGGGTGTCTCGACTGCTTCACTTGCTTTGATGCCAGTGCAAAGTGCCTCCCGATTGACTCCCAGCGATCGGGAAAGACTTCGGCGAAAACTCGAAGCAGACTACACCTCCGTGGTGGTGACTGCCGAGACGATGCCGGCCCTATGCTACCTGCAAGCCATCCATCAGCAGAAACAGGATAAGCTCTGGGAGTGGTTGCCTTGGCGGCGCATCTTGAGTGAGGAACAGCTCTTGGAGGTAAAGGCACGGCGCAGCCGCGCCACTCCCGACTCCCAACCGGATGAGTGGGACCTTGACTTGGTTGGGGCTGCCTTGCGGGTGCAGCACACTTTGGAGACCAGGGCGCATGCCTTTGCTATGGTAGATGCCTGTCATTTACACTCTTGGACTGTGTACGTCAAGAAGTTTATGCACCTGTATGCCAAGAAGCCGATGGAGAACTTTCGCCCCCCCACTGTTCTGGAGGCAGAAGCTGCTGACCGCTCCGTATTGGAGGAGGTGTTCCAGTTGTGCTTCTCGGGTCATTCCTTGAGCGATGCTTTAGCGCACGTGGTGGTAGACAGAGATATGTTGCGTCATGTTTTGGTGGAGCGCCCTAAAGCCGGCAAGGTGGAAAAGGTACCGCTGCCCCCATCACCATTGCCGCCTCTTCCCCGCCGTCCAGGGCTTGGCAATGGCAAGCGTCGCCCGTCCGAGGCGCCTCGAGCGCCGGGCAAGCGCTTGCGAAATGGCGAGTGCTGGGATTGGGTTGATGGAAAGTGCTCCTCGAAGATGTGTCGGTTCAAACACGAGTGCGCCGTGTGCGGGGACAAGTCGCACCATGCAGCGGTGTGCCCCCGCCAGCATTGACGGGGTCATTCTGGGCCACTGGATGAGGCTGGGCCAGTGGATTCAGCGTTGCGTTCCAGTCAGGTTCATGGGTGCATCGCACCGCCGTCATACCCTGACGGAAAGCACACTGCGGAAAGCGAGCGCCACCATGCTGGTGTCCCTAGTAACTCTAGTAGTTGTCCAGGTAGTCGGTTCCGTTTGAAGGATGGTGGCGGCGTTTGGTCAGATGCGGATTGGATGTCCCCGCGCAGTTCCGACTTCTTGTGGGAGTTGCGACGGTTTTGGATGGAGCGCATTGCGGAGTGGGGCCTGGTCCCCCGCTTGTTGGCCCATGTGACCCAAGCAGAGCCGCTTCCTCTGCTGCGTGACGATGAGGTAGATGTCCTTCGGCAGGACGTTGTGGCCTTTCTGAGAAGCAGAGGTTGGCAGTGCACTGCTCGCGTTGCGGAAGGCCAGCCTTTTACGCTTGGCATCTGGGACGCATTGCTTGGATATCTGCAGGATTGCGATGCCGACTTGCCAGACATATTACAAAAGGGGGTGCCTACAGGTATCCTGTCGGATATCCCTGCTTCGGGAGTGTGGCATCCCGTAGACCGGCCTGAGCGACCTTGCCTGGAATTGTTGGTGCATGATGAGCCCTGGGCCTCTGCCACGGATGATTCAGACTGTCTTATGCGTCTGGTCCAAGCCGACATCGATGCCGGGTTCGCAGAATGGCTGCCGGGCGGCTTTCCGGAAGCAAAAGCGCGGTTTGGTGCCAAGTGCGCGGCAGGCAAGTTGGGCGTTGTGAAAAAGGAGGGTTCGGATCCGCGACTTGTTGGCGACAGTTCTGTCTCCAATGCGAACCTGCTGTGCCGTATTCTGGAGAAAGTCGAGCTGCCCTCACTCTTTGACGTGTCCGAGTTCCTGTCTCGGTACCAAGATGAGGCCTGGACGGCCTTCTCGTTGGATGTGGCTAAGGCTCATAAGCGGATCAGGATCGATCCGGCCGAACGAGGGTTTTCAATTTTTGTGGCAGTTGACAAGCAGGGCCGCAAGCACTGGTTCGTGTATAACACGGCGCATTTTGGGGCTTCCTGGGCGGGCTATTGGTGGGCCCGTGCGGCTGGCGCTTTTGTGCGCTGCGCACATGTTCTTCTTCATGACAGTCATTTTTTGGTTATATATGTTGATGACCTCTTGGCGTTGTTTCCTCGACATCGAGCGCCGTTCTTGGCTTGTCTGTGCATCATGCTGGCGACGTCCATGGGAGTTCCAATCTCCTGGAGAAAGTTGCAGCTGGCAGACTCGCTGCGGTGGATCGGCTGGGATATCTGCCTGGGGAGGCGGCCAGTGGCTACGCTACCTTTGGATAAGCGTGCTGTGCTGCTAGCCGTGTTGCAGCCGCTGCGTTCACCTGGCGCCAGTATCAATCGCCGAGACCTTCGCAAGCTTGTGGGCCGTCTTTGCTGGTTCACAGCGGGGCTCCGCTGGTTGCGGCCCTGGCTGGCTATGTGGTTCCACGCGCTAGCAAAGCCCAAGTTGCGCCTGCAGTGCCTTGACCGTGAGCAGATCGAGGAGGTGGCTGGCGCGCTAGATGACACCATGCTTGTGTCCTGGCCGTGTGCCACATCTGATGTCCAGGCGGGCTGGCGTGTGCTTGAAGCGTCCAATCGAGCGGTGGATTGCAGACGAGATCTCCTAACGGCCAGATTGCGTAATGGCAGAGTGTGGGTTAAGTTCTCTGAGGCCTCGGACTCGGGGACGGTGGTGTTGAGCTCGGATGAGGCCCGTGTAGCTTCGTTCTTCCTCGACGTGGTGAAGGCCAATGTGCCAGTCCAACTAGCCACTACGGCCGGAATTTCGGGCGCGGCAGCAGCGGATGCGTTCGCTGAGGGTGACCAGGCTGGATTAGGCGGGTGGTGGATTGAGCCGGGCGAGCACATTCATCCACGCAATATCCGTTATTTTGCCATATCTCTTCGGCTGCGTGACCTGCCAGCGTGGTTCCTCAAGCCATTAGAGAAGGGAGACCGCAACTTGCAGCCACTAATTGCTGCGTTTGAAGCTCTGGCCC